GGTGGCGCCCCCGGAGCAACAGCCGCCGCCGCCGCCGCCCCCCGAGCCCGAGCCGGTGCCGGAGCCCGTGGTGGAGCAGTGGCGCCAGTACCAGGAGAGCGACCGGCACTGGGCGCTGCGCCGCCGCTTCATCCTCGGCCACCTGGCCAGTTACCCGGGCGCCGCCATCGACCAGCTGCTGTCGCTCTCCGTGCTCTGGACCAACCACGTCTTCATGGGCTGCAGGTGAGGGCCCGGGCCTAGCGGGAGAGGCCCAAGGTGGGGATCGGGTTTCCCCGGGGGAGGGACGCTGGCTCCTCCCCGGAGATGGCGGGGCCTTTGGGGGCCGGTTTTCCTTTCCCTGCGATCTCGAAGCATTGACAGGAGGAAGCGCCCGGTCAGTGGGTTCCTTCCTCCAGCCCGTTCTCATTACTCACAGCCTGGCTCCCGCCTACATCTCAGACCCGATTTCCCGTGGTGTCCTTGCCCCATCCTTTCTGCCTCCCCTCCATTCCCCTCCTTTCATTTCAGTGCCTGTTTCCAGGCTGCCCTCATGTTTGGAAACCCCTTCCAGAACCTATTCCTCACTCCGACTGCTATTTAAAACCCTCCTTAGAAAATGGTGTTGGCAGACGTCAGTAGAAAAATGTGGGGGGGGGGTGTTGATTATTTTTTTCCTAAGTAGCAGTCCAGTGGATGATCTTTAGAGTCCATTGGAAAGTGTTTCTTCCAACATGAGCAATTCTAAATAGAGAGGACCAAGTTAAGGCTTTAAATATGGAAAGATGATGATGATGATGATGATGGATACATTTAGGACACACTTTAAAGATGCCACATACATGACTTTTATGGCAAGCAATAATATGGACACCCACCTGGAGAAGTAAAAAGAGGCAACAACCTAGAGAAACTTTACACAGAAAAATAGAGAAAGAAGTGAAATCCATCATCATGATAGCCAGAAGTTTTGAACAGAGGAGCACACAGTAAAATTAGTGATGGAAACTGATAAATGTTCTATATATCTGAGGGGGACAAAGAATCAAGAAAAAAGGATGAGGCACTTCAACAGAAAGAGCTCTGGACATCTAGATTCTAAAGCCTTTCTTTTTATGAGCATGGCATGGGTCCAGATCCTCACCTGGACAGAACTCATAGCCTCACCAGTCACCTGTGGCTCTTTTATTGTTGAAGTGCAACTTTCAGAGCACCTGATGCTGTTGCAAACTGCTCTGCTCCATTCTGCACCTACCAAACTGAGGGGGAACTTGCAACCTCTGTTTTGCAGCAGGTTGGCGTGATGGGGCCTCTGCCCAATGAAGAGAGGGGTCTTGGGGAAGAAAAGTGTCCAATGAGGGGTGGGCATCTCAGGTCTTCAGCCTGGCAGGGGCACATCTGCTGGCTCTAGGCTTCAACAGAAGTGGAGCTGAAGTCCCAGGCTCTGTCAAGTGCCTTCTTCAGGGCTGTAGCCCAAAGCCCTGGACCCCAGCAGATGTGCCTCCGCTCTCCAACTTCTGAAGATTGTTGTATACATCTCAGAATAAGTTTGACCACTGCTGTCCTCCAGGATGAGGGCTGAAATGGGGGACTTGATAAATAAAGGGGATATTACATAGGGCTAAGGCAAAGACATGAGCTATAGAAAGATAGTTACATACATCCTATCTTTAGGCAAACTTGGTGGTTCCTTGCTGTGCTATATACTTGCGTAAGCATTCATTTTCTATCAGTGATGCTACAGTACTGTGCTTTTAGGAATGACTTGAATGAGTGTGGAGCCCTCAGGAATACATTTTGGAAGGGCATCTAAAGCCTTAAGAGGCAACACAGAAGAAGGTAGGGAGACATTTGTGAAAGTGTCATCAAGAAGAGCAACAGACGCAGAGCAGAAAAGATGTGGGAGAATGCAAAAGGAAATCAGGCCAGAAAAGTAGGCGGACCCTGCATAACGAAGGGCCTTTAAGGAAGAGAAATGTAAATAGAACATAATAGGGAGGGATGCCATCTGATTCTGAAGTCTGAATATTCTTCTTGACCATTAATCTACCGGTGCTCTCTTGTTTTATTTATTCCTTTTGGTTCATCTCATTTTCCAGGTCCAACACTGCATACTTGAGATGTAAATGCTGCAACCAAACTAAATGTGTCTTTGATGTTTTTGTTTAATACTAAACACATCACCTCCCAAAATGTTATGAACTCGGACAACATTGGATTGTCTTTCTCAGCCTTTTTGATTCCCAGTACTGGCATTACTGCCCTCCTCATCTACATCAGGTCAATCTCAGGGACTGGCACTGGTCCTTGGAGGGGTGATTGAGAAACACTCATGTAGGAAGCTTCAGTGGGTAGCTGAGTTAGTCTGTACAGGATAAACTTAATGTACTAAATTTACTAATGTAGGAGAATCTGAAACTGACTTGAAAACAAAAGTGAAACTCGTCAATTTTTCCTTGTTCAAAATGAGAAAAATGCAAAAAGTAAGCTGCATAAAAAGTAAATTACAATTTTTAAACTTTGTGGTCATTTTAATTTTTTGTTTAAAGGTAGTTGGTGGGAATAATTTTGTCTTTTTAGCATTATTTAAAGTATAAGGTACCTGTTATAAAGCATCTTAAAAATTAATTTTCTGAGTATATTAAATTAGATTTGAATAATGGAAGAACTATGTAGTTACTATCCCTGGGAAAACCACCATTAACTTGTGGAAACTACCATACAGTAACTCGGATACTATTTTAGATTTCCACATCCCTGCTAGTCAAAATGAAAGGGCAGCTTTCCCTGTGCACTTTGACTGATGTTTCTAAAATGAATGCTGGGGAGATGGGAAAAGAAATTTAAAGAAAAATAAGTACTTGCTTATTCTCTGACTCACTGAAGTGAGTCAGAGAATATTCAAGCAAAGCTCTGAGTATTCTAAAAGGTTATTTAGGCTTAAATTTTAAGGTTTGTTAATTTTCTTACAAAGCCTGTCTTCAGTAGATGCTGCTCATAATTTGTCTGAATTTTAATTAACTGTCTTGGTTTGGATCCCTTGCACACAATCCAAATGTTTTATCATTGTGCTAGTGTAAGAGAGACAGAAAGGGAAATTGGTTACGGTTATTGTTTAATCCATAGCAAATAACAGATGAATGGCACATTGAGTTTTAATATTTAACACTCAGACTGTAAACTGTTTAGGACAGAGACTTTTTGTTGTATTCTTTGTATGACACCTACCATAAATCGGATCCTGATCCTTGATTGGGGATCCTATTATGGCACAAATAATCATACCCCCATATGGTGTTAACAGCAGATAGAGGAAAGCACTTTAAATACTATCACTTTTTTATAATATGGTGGAGCAGTAATATCTTTGCAGAGAGATGGCCCAGCCTGTTTTTTCAAGTGGTCAAGCTGCACTGGTCCACACGCCACGCTCAACTCATACGTTTGCCTCCTCTTGGCCGCTTGGACACTGTGGCGGGTGTACCCTGGTACTTGATCTTGGCCAATCAGCTGAACACCATGCGGGTAGCTAGCTGAAGATTTTTGGCTGGTGAGGGGAATGTCCTTCCCCTTCCTTGTGTCAAGCAGCCAATGGCGGATCCTTTGTGGAGATGGTGGATGAGCTGTGACCCTGACAGCCAACTGCTTTGGGCAGATGAGCTGCTGGGACCTAGGCTTCGATACATAGTCTCCTAATTGTCTTGGACCTCTTTGCCCATTGATCCCAGGCCATGCCTTGGTCAAGCATAGTATACTAGTCTCTGATGTACAACAGCATCTTCATGTAAAAACTCTATCATGGGCAGGCTCTTTCTTGTAGCATTCAAAGAAAGATCTTACTTGAGTCAAAAGATCCCAGAGATATATCTGCTAGTGCCCCATTAACTCATTTTCAACCATTGTTGCATGTTCTCCATCTCTTCAAAAACTGCTAGGATTAAAAATTAAGGCCCAAAGTTGTTTATGTAGTTAGGGTACCAATTATCTTTATTCATGAGCTGCATGCTGACCAACTCCTGCACTTATACGGAACCTTGCTGTGATGATGCTATGTGCAGATGAAGGGTGCTATCTGTCATGTGACTGTGCCATGGAAGACTTAAATATCGATTAATTTACTAGTTGAGTAGTCGATGGAATTTCCAAAGTGGAAGCACTTGTTTATGTAGTTAGGGTACCAATTATCTTTATTCATGAGCTGCATGCTGACCAACTCCTGCACTTATACGGAACCTTGCTGTGATGATGCTATGTGCAGATGAAGGGTGCTATCTGTCATGTGACTGTGCCATGGAAGACTTAAATATCGATTAATTTACTAGTTGAGTAGTCGATGGAATTTCCAAAGTGGAAGCACGCACGTGGAGCGCGGAGTCAGCGG